ATATATATATATATATATATATATATAGAGAGAGAGAGAGAGAGAGAGAGAGAGAGAGGTCCATGTTAATATATTAATTTAGAAAGAAAAAAAAGGGGTAAGTAGTGGTGTTTCAGTGGAGGCGTTAAGCATGTTGTTTGTTAAAAACCAAAAATCATGATTTAGAAATAATAAAAAAGGCATGCTGAACGTGAGTTTGTTTAAGTAACCTCAGTGCTAAACGTGGGTTTCATCAACTATATGAAACGAAGTCGTTTCATTCCCAACGTACCCTAAAAAAAATACACCAGCTCACATCTTCTTCCTCTCGCAGTCGCTTGCAAAACAGCGGCCCTTCGTCCGCCTCTCCACACCTCTCCAAGCTTCACGACACAAAACATGCAACCTGCTAAATAGATGAATGCTTCAAGCGATTTCCTTCCGCCTCTCGCTCCGGTGCACTCTCCGATATGCACTTAGGCATGCCTTTGAAAACACAGAAGCCAAGTATCAAATATAATATGAATGAATGATGGAAGATCATGTCCAAAGAAGTAGATAGTACAAGTGGTGGTGATGCATGCGTGTGAAATTAACTTTTTTTTATAGGAGTTAGTACATGTGATGATGAAGATTAGGTTGATATGATTGATTTTATATTGTCACATTAATTATCATTTATTTTTATTTATTTATAATAATTTCTTCTCCCTAAAAATAGACACACAAGTCTTCTTTCAAATAGACTAATATACAGTTTAAGGTAACCTCTCTCTCTGTGCATAAAAAATAAATAAAAAGTATGATAAGTACCGTGTAGCGTACGTGATTAAAAAAAAAAGCATCTCGCATATGTGGAAGCGTGTATAGAGAAATTAGTATATTTAGAATAAATTGTATTTGGAAACTTAATAATGGTATACATTTACTCGCATATGTGGAAGTGGAAGCGTGTAGAGAGAAATTAGTATATTTAGAATAAATTGTATTTGGAAACTTAATAATGGTATACATTTACTCTTAGTCTTTATTAAATTGTCTTTTATTTCACAACGTACGTATAGCATGCATATATGATTTGTCTGACAAATCACTTAAATAAGAAAACTTGATCTTATGGGATTTTAGTATGAAGTATATATTGACTTAATGAGCCATCATTTTTAACCTAAATCGTAAACTTAAGTAAATAGAGTAATATAGAAATAAATGAAAGTAAAAGGACAAAGACATTTACTTAAATGTTGAAAATGGAAATAAAGTAATCTGTACACCAGTTGAGCAAATGGACAATTTGAAGCACATGCAATCACTGGCGGATCCACAGAGGCGCAAGGAGGTGCAGCTGCACCTCCCCTCGCCGGAAAAAGCTTTGAAGTCGCCGGAGTTTGCCCCTCAGCTCTACCTTGGAGGTGCCCACCACCTGTTCGAATAAATGCCTCAGCAACCCAGCAACCTCCTTTTCTTTGTTGCGATGCTGCGCTGGGAGCAGCTTTTGTTTTGTTTTTTAAGTCCTGGCCAAACGACGTCGTTTTGGCCAGTCAAAAAAAAATAAAATTAAAGAGCAAACCTGAAGCCTTATTTCCACAGAACGGAAGAGCGTGTTCTTGGAGTCCAAGTTGGAATTAAATGGACCAATGGATACCTTGCGTTGAATGATTCTTCAAGTTGGAATTAAATGGACCAATGGATACCTTGCGTTGAATGATTCTTCAAGAAGCCTTGCGTGCTCTTGAGTCTTGCTGCAGATCCATCGCTCTCCTCCAAGTTTGAAGTTTTTTTTTAAAAAAAAAAAATTTCTTCTGTTTTTTTTTCCTTATGGTTTTTTTTCCTTCTGTTTTTTATATATTTTATAATATGTATTTTAATATTGTTGTTTATTTTAGAGAGATTATTTTTGTTTTCTGATTTGGTTATCTTTGTATAACCATAAACCCTAAATCCTCTTTCGAATAATTTGGGAATTTCTTTTGGCTTTTAGCCTTTTAAATGTTGCCCCTTCCCAGGAAAATTCCTGGATCCGCCGCTGATTCGAGCGTCCTCCTCCTCCACCACTCTTCGTCTCCCCCAATCAATTTCCTCCTCCCTCTTGAAAGTCCCTCTAACCCCTAAACCCTTCATCCTCCCTCTCCCTCCTCCGTAATTTCCAGAACAAATGGAAAAAAATGTGGTAAGAGTAGCATTACTCGTAAAATAATTATTGCAAAATTGGATGATTAATCCATGTAATTAGCATGCATAATAACATGTCATACTTATAGAGAAATTAAGTGAATTGTATATGACAATCTACTTTTCAACGAACTCTTATCCACAACAAACGTGCAATATGAACCGCTCATAATTATATAAAGAGATTTGATTCATTCCAGATACAATACGCATGCATATGGGTATATTATAAACCATGCAAGTTGCAAGTCACATCAGTCCACTAATCAACTGTACAGATATGAAGAATAGTACAAATGAATACAAACTTATTAATGAATTATGTCACAAATCAACATTTATACACGTTCGCAATTGTAATTTATCAATCGGCGTGCGGGCGATGAGAAAATTATAAGTAGGAATGCCCCTTAGCCTAGGGCAACATACTCACAAGAGGTAGGACCAGGGCCGGCCCTGACATTTTGGTGGCCCATGGCCAAAAATTAAACGAGGCCCTTAGTATATAATTTTTTTTTAATTTGCTCATTCCTATTTTTTTATTTATGAATACGGAGCAAAATCCCAGAAAATAACTAAGCTGCTTAAATAGAACAATTTCATTCAACTAACAAAAAAAAACCAAAAGTAAACGATCCATAAACAACAAAAATCATATTTAGGTCATAGAGCTTCTTAAATTTCAGCAAAACAAAACAAAAGTTCTTTAAGTGGTTCTTCCATAGGGCTTAGTTCTCAAGTGGCTCAATTGTACACAAAAAGCTCCTTTGACTTCCACTTCATCATCTACAAATCAAAAATCAAAAGCAGTAACATTAAAAATACAAACAATCATTGAAAAATTCTTGATCTTCTAGCATTTTGAGAAGCAAAATCATCAATAACCTCTTCAAAATCAATATTTTCCAACATATTCTTTTCAATACATAAGATTGCCAATCCATTTAACCTTTCTTGTGACATAGTTGAACGCAAATAAGATTTTATTAATTTTAATTTTGAAAAACTTCTTTCTGCAGATTGTATCATTCTCTCTCATTTCTTCTTGACTAATTGGTTGTTGTGATTCATTAACTAATTCATCAGATGGATCTTCAATTGAAGAACTAGTTTTAAAAAACTTATCAAGAGCTCCTTTTTGAGTTTGAATCATTTTTTCTATTTTTCTAATTTTATTTCTTTTTTGACTTCCAGATTCATGTTTCCTAACCATTTTTGTTACTGCAACTCTTAAATCTATAAAGTGACAGACAACAAATGAACAAAATAAACACACACCACACCAAACACAACCAGCAAAGCAACGAAACACAACCAAACCAACCAACCAGCAAATGAAAAAAAACTAAATTTAAGCAATAAAAAATAATAATACAACCTGGTTTATGCTTAAGTTGTTTTAAACCTCTTCAATCTTGCAGAGCCTTCATTTCAATTGATCTATATTGCACATCTGAAAAATATAAAAACATACAATTCAATATCTAACAAAATAAATAAGGGAGCAGAGCAGAGCAGAGATGACATACTTACACTGAAACTGCATTTCAGGTGTCTAAATTTCTTCGATTGGGCTAATTTTTTGACATGTTATAGTAGAGATGAAGAGGAACAAGTTTGATAGAGGGAGAATTTCGATTTGAGCTTAGGAAGTTGATGCTTTGGATCTGTGAACAGGGCTGACGGACGGATTTGATAGCTGAGATGAGAGGTGTTTGGGAGAGAATTATTTGAGAAATCTTGAGTTTTAAAAGAAGCCGTTGGGCAGAAAAAAGAACAAAAGATAAAAGAAGGCATGCGTGGGATGGGAGACAGATGAGGATGAACAAAAGATAAAAATAATGCACAAAAGGGGAGACAGATGAGGATGAGGATGGCGTGGGAAACAGATGAGGATGGAGTGGGAGACAGATGAGGATTGTTTATTCAATGGTCTCTCTTTTGGCTCAATTTGTTTTCTTTATGTTTTTTTTTTAAATTTTTAATTAATATAACACTTTATTACTACTTAATATATATAAAAATTTGGGGCCCCAAAAATTGGAGGCCCATGGCCGTCGCCCTCCTTGCCCACCCCTCTGGGCCGGCCCTGACTACAAGTTTTACATTTTGTACTTCTTTCCATTGTATGATGTGATATTGTTCCTATATTGTTTAATACTATCGTCTGCATATATAGTATAGATACAGATAGAGATTCAACTTTTTGAATGAGTATATTATAATAATAATAATAATATACATGTATATATATATATATATATATATATGTATATGTGTATTATATATGTATATATGTGTACATATACATATATACATATTATATATATATATATTATATATGTCTATATACGTGTATATATATACATTATAGTATATTTGTCTGTAAGTATAATATAATATATATATATGGGTATATAATATAATAATAATAATAATAATAATAATAATAGTAGTAGTAGTAGTAGTAATATATGTTATTATTATTACAATATAATATATGCATCTTATACATTGGTGAGTATGAGATTAGTTTTTTATTTATAGAAAAGATGGTATTTCATTAAATAATTACATGGTAAGAACTAGCATGTTAACGGCGGCCTCGTTAAAACCTTCCCAGAAAAACAAAATCCTAGGATAGAAATACAATTATAACATGACCTAGTATACCAGAGGAAATGGATATGACAAGGTGAGCAGAAAGAAAATAAAATAAAATAAAAATTCTCTATCTTTTTGTTTCGTTGACCATGACTCAATTTGAAGTCCTTGTTCGTTGATTTATATTTTCTAAATAAATTGTATTTCAAGGTTGCTATTGGCACTGATGACGTGTACAAGAGCACAGCAGCTGTTGAACTGGATACCAAGGAACTTGGAGGGATAATAATTAGTCGACCGGGTCCAATCCCAAAAATCAAAACCAAAATCACTGCATTCCTTGACACAGATGGCTTTCAAACGGTAAAACCTCCTTTGATTGCATAATTCATATATATATATTTCTTTCTTTCTTTCTTTCTTTCTTCTTTTTTAACACAAGCTTACAGAACCATTCTTTGTTAACCTCTGTAGGTGTTGGTGGACAATCAAGACTATCTTAAAGAATTGAAGAAATAGTATTAGGTTCATGGCATGCTTATTAGGTTATCCTTTCTACAGATGTATTTATTAATAAATGTTTGTCAGTTTTGCCATGTAACTGAGCAAACCTTAATTTCTGTCTGTATCTGTACCTTGTAATTCATCTTTCAAATCTCCTTTCAATAACGTTTTGAAGCCATCTTCAGTGCATTCTCTGTGAGGTATGGTCTTCAATTACATGGAAAGAGTACCACCCATGCTATTGATTAAACAAAAGAGTCAAACATTTTGGTAACCAACCAAAAAACCAATCACAAAACCCTTAAAACAACATCCCATCACTACATAGGTACTGTCAAAGAAGTCCTCCTATGATATAGAAAAAGTATCATAGTTCTTTGTACAGAGTAAAAAATGTACTATGGGTATCAGAATAGATCCAGCCAATCACCCAACCGCAAAACCCTTGAAACACATCCCATCACTACGTAGATACTATTAAAGAAAGCATCATAGTTCTTCGTACAGAGTCAAAAACGTATTGTGAGCATCATAACAGATCCAGCCAAACACCAACCGCCACCTCCAATTTTCTTGATCCAGAACCCCAGCTGACAAGCAAGGGAGAACAACATTGACCTCTTAGCCTGAAGAAAATTCCGAAGAAATATCTTCATAGTAGGAACGTTCATCGGTTACCAAGCCCACAAACGTTCCGTAGGAGAATTATTAGGGAGATCTTGGAGACCCCTCAAGGCTGGTCTCCTCCACCTTGTCAACAAAATCCTCGATACAAAAACTATGCTTACCAGAAAAATTCATGTCACTAACAATCAGATGCCCAACACCAGTTGTCGCACGCTTCTGATTGCAGCTTGGTGCCGCATACTTTTCATCCCCTTAAGTAGAAGAGGCGGTGGCCATCTCCATAGTGTTAAGATGGAGACCCTTCACCAGCAACTGGCTCCTTGGGAACCCAGAAGGAAGCCAACGTAGCCACCCCACGGAGAACAAAAGAGTAAAAAACAAACGTCATAACCAATTCACCAAGAAGAACCCAAAGAGACTATCAGAGAAGACTAAGAGAGACAGCGCGTAGAATGAGTAAAGAAAACTGTAGAAACCCTATCCCTATCCGTCAAGGCTCTCCTCGAGTTAACGAGAGAGCGAGCAAAGCCTCCATTTTCACATGGGTTTAGTAGTCCCCTCCTAAGGATGTGTTTTTGGTGGGCCCGGTATTAGCAATCTCATCTAGGACCAGGATTAGATGAAACAAACATTGTACTAAATTTAGTCCAAACCAGACCAAGCAAAGCCTATATAACAAACGGCCCGTTAAATCGCATGGACGATTTGTGACTTTTCGCTTTATATCACATATCAATTTGAATTAATAGAATTTTTATTTGCAAGTAGGTTTGTAAGAATTCACCCAAAGCTTGAAGGCCTATCCTAAAACTCGCTACCTAGGTTCTATGGCCCGATCCAAGCTTGTTCTTATTTTACTATTATTGTTTTTCACTTTTAAAATATCTTAAAAACTTTATTTATACTAGCACCCTTGAGGTTTTTAGTGTTTTCACAAAACCCTTTGAGGATTCAAAAATAACACAAACACTCAAAAAATTTCAAATTGATTTCATAAAACCTGTATATGTTGATTGTTCGTCCAAATATTGATGGTTTCATATAATAAAAACTTATGTGAATGAAAAAATTAACCTCAATGAATGTATGTGCAATATAATATCATTGGGTAACTTTGTCATTTGAAGAATTTTTTTTTTAATATAAAATCATCAATCTTTGGATGCAAAATCAACGAAAATGTGTTTTGTGAAAACAATTTAAAACCTTTAGGGGTGTTCGTGTAATTTTTGAAACATCAGGGGATTTTGTGAAAACATCAAAAACCTCAGGAGATGTTAGTGTAAATAAATTTTTTTACGTCAATCTAAAAGGAGGTTCCTGTTTTTTATTTCATAAATTTTTTATTTCATAAATATTTATCAATTTCTATTTGAGTTTCCTGCTTTACAAATGTTTTATTTCAAAAATTAGGCAAACATGGTCTCCCTTAAAAATGGGAAACCATACATTGTTTTCAAGAAAATAAGAGAAATTATATATAGAATGGTACAGTATCACCACGTCAGATGGTTGTACAATCTTTTTACAGATGAATTTAACACCCTTTTTTATATTTAAAAGTAAAATTAAAAAAAATTAAAAACTTCGAAAATGAAAAATAAAATGCCCAGCCACAATCTGCCTCAATGTAAAAAACCCCACCCCTACTACCTGCTATGGAATTGTATCAGATTCCACATAAACTTTGGTGGGTGTATTCAATTAAGGTTTTAAAAGAGTTCAATGGAATTATTAAGTTTATAGAGTTCAATATATTTTCAATTGATTTCTATAAACTCCACATAGAGTTTGACTGAATTCCTGAATTGATTTGAATGGTGTTTGTTAAAGTTTTATCATAGATTTTAAAAGAGTTTATTAGAGTTCTAAAATGTTTTTTTTCTTTTTCTTGAAATAAGCAGGCTTGGAGTTATTCTTTTTTTGTATTTCTTCTTTTAAGAACAGTTCATATTTCCTAGCCTGTTGTGCCACATCTTGTAGGTCTACGAATTTGAGTACTAGGTGAAAGCTTGGCCTGATAATGAACTACCAAACAACCTTAATTTCAACAGCGAGTGGGCTTCAATAGCCACACAATGGGCTGAGAAACACCTTATGTGTTCTAAAGCTGATGCATATAAATCCTCTCCATTGAACAAATTAAAGCTCGGAACTTTAAAACCCCTTGGGAAAGGCAAATAATCAATATAAGCAGGATATGGCTTCTGATAAGTGGGACGGGCCGGTCTTTTTACCCCAGCTTGACCATTAAGAATGAGTTACCTTAAGCCCTCAATTTCGTTCTGTATCGCAAGATTCGGGTTGATTATTGGGATAGGACCAATGGCGGCAAGTGTTTGTCATCTAAATCCTGCATTTGTTCAGGTAGTTGTGCATGATTTCTCATGCCCCGTCCATTGCCCTCTCCCCCCCTTTATGGTCATTATTATGGAAAATATGGACGTTAAAGCCTGCACGTTGTCGCCACCAGCATGCATGTTTCTTCGGGTGGGCTCTGGAGGTGGCGCAGCTTCATTGAATTTTGGTCCCTGATATTTGGGAAGGGCTCCAAAAGGCACGAGTTGATGATTTCCTGGCTCTCCGGTTGTGCTGGCTATCGTTGTTGCAATTGGAGGAAGAACCGTATCTGAATTGACTATATGAACAGTTGGAAAAGGCATCTCGAATGAACTCCTGACCACAAGTTTTGGTAATGAAGAATTAGCATGGCCACTTGTTTGGCCTGGTGAGTATTTTGTTACTCCCATAGATGTTTTCGTAGTTTCTGACGTCGTATCTTCCTTTCGGAGTGTTTTATCTTCTGGAGCAGCTTGCATGACTTGCTCAAAAAATTGTGTAAAATATGCCCTTGTTTCATTTCCTTGCAAGGTTGTATTCATGTGTCCCTTTTCAACACTTTGGGTGACATTCTAGGACATCTGATTCATGCTCTAAGCTACTGCTTGGGACCTTCCTTCATGGTTTTCTCAAATCGGCCGAAAGGATCCTCTGAAGAGAATTCCAACGACTTCGCCTATGCTAATCTTTTGTTCCTCTGATCAGGGATTAGAGTGGAATCTACCATGTATACTTTCTTTCTAGTTTTTTGCACCATGCACAAATGAGAGTCCCACTAGGCATGCCAAAAATATGTTGGTCCCTTTTTCCTACGCTCTGGTGTGATACTCTGGATCAAGCCGCTTTGGAGAGTGGAAAGGTCGTCGGGTCAA